TGAACAAGCACTGTGTTCATACTTTCACTGTAGGCAGTTGGATACTTTCTGCTTACTGTTTCAATGTCAAAGTCACAGGGCAGTTTACTCAAGATGTCACCTGTCACATCGTGAACAATGTCATCCATGGATTTGGCACCCGTACCAGCTGCCCTGGACTGAAATGTGAAACATTAGACATTTCATAGTGGACACTACTGAAAAAAAAACAAAAACTTGCCATGTCCTATCACTTCTATGTCTGCTTCCTCAAAAAAAAATGCTTTGGACATTAATACTGCAGTACTGACACAATCTCTCATAAAGAAAAACAAAACACACACCTTTAAAGCTCTGTCTAGCCATACACTAACTTCTACATAATTAACAGCAAAACATTAAAACACATTAACAACTGAGATTAAACACTCCAGACAGTGACTTGTACACCTGTGAAAATACAGGAGCAGACTATCTAAACAGCTCCATCTTTTCATCTTTCGCACTACCTGAGTAAGAAGAATGCTGTCAAATAACAGCTGTGTTTCTGACTGATCCTTAGTAATATCGGCATTGGCATGCATTCCAAATATCTCTGGGGAAGGATTCAGTGGGAGCATCCTGGTATATTCAATGTAGCTTCCGTGCTGCAAAAAAAAAGGACACTTCCTTTAACTCACCTGTTTCATCAGCTGATTGATTACAAGGTCCTTTCCACCACCACCCGTTCTCTTACGCAAGCTGAATGTCCTTCAAACTTAAGCGGGCTAGATCGCTCTACCTAGCCCTGAGTGTATGAAATGGTGCAGACTGCACGCTTTAGGAAGCTGTACTAATTCAGGCTATTAACTCGTTTCTTTCTTTATCGTTATTTCCAGACCTTACCCGTAACTAAAGTGCTACCCAATGGTACCGGCAACAAAGCGCTACTCAACATGAGCGTAATCGCATACATTTGTACATTTTGATGTATGCATTTGTATGTACATAAACATATATACAGTATTCCTTCAATTAGGCAACTCCGTGATACAAGGAAGCTTCTAAAAAATCCACATCTTTCAAATACTTACGTCACCTTCAGGAGGAACGAAGTAAAGGCCGCTCAAATCAAACTTGTAATCTCTATTGGTAATGACTTCTGATGAGAAAAAAGTGTTCAGAACGCTACGGAGTGTGCGGCGATCCCAGTCGTCGGTGACTCTGCCGCCGTAGTTACATTCCCCGGTCATGTAGCGAAGAGCATCGTATGGGACCTCCTAGAGGAAAAAGAAAAAAAAAAGAAAAAACACATTCAGCCACAGACTATTACTTGTCCCGATGGCCACTTCAGTATCGCTATCGTGTAATTTCAAGTCAACCAGCATTCTCACAAAACCTTAACTAAGTATGACTTACAACTGATAGTTTGCTCTTATACTGTAAATCTCCTTGTCTGCAACTACTTCGGTACTTAAAATGATACTTATACTTAATATTTCAGTATTTATACTACACTTGGGCTACTTTTGTCTTATGAAACACCACTTTTTATAGAACAATAACACCATAGGCAAAAAATAAAAAAAAAAAATACATTGTCACAAAACAACCTCACACATCATCTGCTGTACTCTGGAGTCCTGTATTGTCCCTAGGACTATCTAAGTCACAGCACCAGTTTCAGCGTAATGATTCATGGTTTCCAACGACTCTTCCGAGAGAGGAAGCCACAGCGTCTCTCTAGAGACAGTGCAAGATTCAGACAGAACGGACAACAGTGTGGATCCTATTCTGCTCTATTCTGCGTGGCAGACAGCCAACATCAGAACCTGAACATTTCCAGCATCAATTACGTAGTGACCGCAACGCGCTAACCTCCGAAAAGGAACATTTTTCACGCTGCTGCAAGTAAATGCTCACTGCCCGGTCTCAGGCCCCTACTCAACCACTGTCCAGGGAACTCTCCGCTGTCTGAGTACGTGCTCTCACTGGTCTACGTTGCACGTGAGAACCACGTGCGGGCCTCGGGAAGGTTGCCGTACCTCGTACTGGTCCAGGAAGATGTGCAGCTGCTGCACGCTGATGCGCAGATCCGTCTCGTTGAACTCGTATGGAATGTTCCAACCCAGCGGCCCGAACTTCCGCCTTTCTTGCACCAGCGCGTGGAAGAAGCACAGGCCGTACAGCAATGCCTTGAACTCAGCCTTACAAACAAATGGAAGCACATTACTAATAACTATGTCCTTTACAGAATTTCACTTTTAAATTCTGTTCAGACAATGTCACCCTGTTCCTTCTCAGTAAAGTTTTTAGGCCTTTAAGGAAACCTACATGTAGGAAGCTTACGTTTGCTTTGTTTGTAATTGAAAACATTTCAGCAAAGCATTAGATCTCATTTAAAAGAAACAAATTCCATCGGCCCTCACGGTTCAAGAGAGCAACTGCATATTTTGCATTTCGGATAAAACCCTTGCGACAACAACCTTTGCAAATTTGCTATAGTAAACAGTGTGCCTCTCAATTCAGTTCTGTTGAAGAGGCATATTATTAATACCACGCCACGAAGTCACCCCTGAAGTAGGAGATGACCAGAAAACAAAAAATGCTTACTTTCCTGCTACCGATAATCAAAAGTACTTCGACGCGCTATAAGACAACTACTTAATTTTGTACTTTTTTTTCCCCAGAGCCGTCACCGTCTTGTTTAACCCCTTCTTTAACCCCTTCACAAAGTAAGGCCGCCACCGCATTACTAACCGTTTTTTTGCAGCTGTTGAAAAAATTAGGGTCAGATATGGGATCCATCAGGTACGAACGAATTATGTTTGCTCGTAAACCTTTCGGTGCTTCGTTCGTCATTTTCACTCCGTTCTGAAGTACGGACACCGGAAACGTGGCAGATGGGTAACTGGTGAGCCAGATTCTGAAATCCGGATGCGTTGTGTCGGGGTTAAGCTCCTACAATAAACACGTATTAAAACAACTGGAATAAGTGACAGACTAATACGCATCTCCTCTGTTATTATTTACGCAACTTTTTTTGGAGGGAGTTGGAAAATATGCTGGTTAGATGTTGAATTTCTGAACGTCTTGCAAGCGACGATTATCAGATTCAAACTTACGACAATTCTCGTTTTGCTGGATGCCGGAGCGCTTTCATTCACGGCTGCGGAATATCGAACGGAAATTTCTGCTCTTTGTGTAAGATGTGAATAAAAACGAGGTGCCCGGTCTGCACCTTAAAGGCAACAGCAATGTGCACGTTGCATTTTGACTGTCGTACAGCTCTTCTCACGAAAGCTACAACAATAATATCTATGCATCTAAAATGCATCAAGAACTCCGGAAAACGGTAAGCGAGAACTGTACTTCAACAAATTTCTGCAAACCTGCAGCTGTTCAAATGTAACACTGTTTAGCGTGCTGCTTTTCTGCAGCGATGGACGCGCAAAAAAGCTCTCGGCCTGAGGAGACAGCTGTAGCACTCGATTTAATGTTTGAAGAATAGGCCACGTCCGCTCCATTTGCGGCCAGAAGGTCCGCTCCACTGCAGCGGCCAGAAGGACAGAATCTACGTGGTGATTCCAGATAATTAATGGGAATCGTCATCCAGCATTATAAACTGCCTACATGCCTCAAATGTACTTTCAAAAGTGTAGCGAAAACATTAGTTATTTTTACCTCGCACACTCGTTCCAGCGTGGGCATCCACGAGCTCGCCAAATGGCAATTCTGCAGAACTATCCATGTTCCTTCCTTCACTGCCTTCTCTATCATTTTCATGGCTATTGGGCCTTGGCCTTGTCCGAGCGACAGAGAACTGAGTTTTGTGTCGCTGTATCCCTGCGTAACAAAGCATGCTAAAGGTAAGAAAGATACTGTGGAAGCACAACATGGTTTATAGCATCAGAGCTCACATCCCTACGTATTCTTGAATTCCTCTGCACTACTTGTTTTACAATACAATTGAAAACATTTTCTCACGTCACCCCAGTTGCCTACAACCTCTCAGTGATCATCTGCCAGGGAAAGACTCCCGCCACGCATCTGTTTAATTCTGAACTTTACGGTTCTGACAGTTCCACAAAACTCCTATAAACACAAGGGCTCATAAGGGATGCACGCAATCTACAATAAAATGCAAAGAGAGTTTACTGCTCGGTGTAGGACAGCAGTGTGACGCTCAACGGCTAAGAACTCCGGTAGTCACAGGCAGGCGGTGCAAGAAATTTATCTCAAGGAAATGTAGGAGTTTTAGATTAACAACACACACACGCAAACGCATCATCTACTTTGAAAAAAATCTAGAGATATTACAATACCTGATCGTCAGCAAACTTAACGAGCGCTGCCATGGGATCGGCACCTGGAGAAAGTATGAATATCAGTGGTGCGCAAGAGTGGCTATCAGAAAACGCTCTCGACAAATCAAATGGAGGTGGCTCGATAAACGGACGGCCCAGATTGTGAACGATGAATTCCTGCACTGTTGGTATCATCTAAAAAATAAACAATCAAATCTGAACATCCTATTGATGTGTAAGTGTTACTATGCCATTTGGAACAGTTTACTATAAGCCACAAGGAGAATACCGCTACACAGACAACAAAGCACTAATTCAGTCCTAGAAAAATAACTTAACACATATGAAATGTGACCAAAATAATCTCATAAGAAAGACGGACCCTGAAATGGCTGAAATAAGCAACCCTTAAAGTCATTTCCATCTCACATCTGAACAGAGTAACACAGTGATGTAAGAACCTCGAAGTCCACCCGCGCGCATACTAATTAAGTTCCAAAGAGAATTTCACCTTTCAAATAACTTAAATGAACTTCCTTTAAAAGACATAATTTTGAAAGAAATAATTTGAAAGAAATAAAACCTCAGATTTGCGAAGTACAGCATAGGTCCTTTAAAAGACATAATTTTGAAAGAAATAAAACCTCAGATTTGCAAAGTACAGCGTAGGATAGTATCCTGCCCTTTAGATTTACTATCGTAGAGTAAGCACAGTTCCATAAATATAAAATAGTTTGCAAGAACACAGTTGCATACTTTGCCAACTATAAACATCTATAGCTACTTTCCTCTTTTAAGTCACCATTTATTTTATTTGTCTCTTGAATAGTATACCTTAAAATACACTGAACATTGCATAATTACCAATTCACCATTACAGAAATACCAGAGATACAACAACATTAGCAGACACAGTATAAAATTTTGACCCTTGACATGAAATTCAAGTAATTTAAAACACTTTCAAAAACACCAGTACTGGTTCAATCCCTGTAATTACAGCCTATGTGTTTTCAACAGCTTCTGCATTGTTTTCAACAGCTTCTGTATCAACTCTACACAAAACCATTGAATTTCTATAAGCTTTTCACTTACACTTTCAACATCACAATTATAAAAGGAATACAACAATAAATGCAATCATACATTATAAACACTATTCATTTCAGTTAATAAATACATAATATGAAACATCACATACCTGAAACAAAAGAAGACTTGTATCCCACTCTTCACACTCCCACACTCACCCATGTGTTCTCACTTATTTTAAAGCCGCTGTGCTTCACAGGTGTAGTGTGTCACCAATTAGGAAAATACCTTAAATTGGAGACCTGGGAAGACAGGAGCTCTGACCTACACTCCCTACAGCCTGCACCGATGGAGGCGATTCTGCAAGAGCTCCTTTCAACTTCAAAACTTCTGAATGAGCTTAAAGAAATGTAAGATTATGAAAGTTGCTTAAAAACCCCGGTTAACTAGCCTTTTGTAATGAATTGCAAATGCGCTCCAGAAAATGAGTGATAAAGGATGCTTTAACTTTGTGGTTTGTTTTTTTCTTTTTTACATGCTATAAAGGTGAAGTTCTTCATGTTAGTGCACTTTTGTTCAAGAGGTCTTGTGAGCATTTGCTTAGCCAGAAATGAAAAGCTGAGCGGTCTGTTTTCCTTGTGCTCTAAAATATTGCAGCAGGATGACTACAAACTCATGTATTTAGTTTGCTGATCTATGTTTAATTTCATGTACTCTAAATTTAGGGTTACTTTTTACATTATGTTGCATTTCCGTTTGCACGTTCTCCTCTTCAAAATAAGCCTAAAGGACTATTCTACTTCATCCAGTAGGAAAGATGAAGTATCGGAATGATTACTTTTGGAATCTAATATCAAAAGTTAAAATCATCTTTGTATTACTAAACGCTTACGTCCTTGCAGGCTTCAACTTGCGGGCTGAAAAGAGGAGACTGTGTTTCTGTTTCAGCGCGTGTATCGAACAACCGGGTTAGATCTCAGCTATGCTGTGCTAAAGGAGTTATCTAAGAATCTTGATAACTGAAAGAAACGTGTTTCTCAGTTTTCTTACTAGATACCATTCTAAACTGACAGGAAAATGTAGCACTAAACTCACGCAGTTTATACGTAAGGGTTTTCTGTGGCCGTGGTCCTGCGCTACTTTTTTTTTTCTAGAAAAAAAAAATATTCTTAGATACAGCAGATTACGTGCATGGATAGCAGAACGCTGCTGTAGGTGTGCTAGCTAATCTCTGAAATAGCAGAAGTACTGTGGTAGCCTGTGATTATAACAGCTACGTAAAAACCTGCTTCCTGGATCTGACTGTTCCTTGTTCCTTTACTAACTGACTTGCCCTCTTGCAGCTCTCGCTCTTAAAACTTTTTTTTCAGCTGGATCTATGCGGATAGATACAGCGGGGGAAAAACGTTACCAAAAGTCTTCTGCGATGATTCCATGTGAGCACGAGCCATGTGTTGGATGAAGCTCTAAACTTCTCAACTGTCTCTTGCAAGTGGCAAAGGTGGGCTTTATCCACTGCCGAAGTGCAAGTGAACCGGATGTGGCAAAATGTTTCTTTGGCTTGATAGAACTGGAGGGCTGGGAACCTAATGATGACCCGCGGTAAGCGCAGACTTAACCACGTTCTTTAAATATTTCTGTAAATCTCTTTGACGACGCCCCTTTATTTATTACAAAACTAACAAATTTTCTAGCATTTCACTAAACTGAAACTTACCGAAAGCTTATCCTATCATACCTTGACACATTTGCTAATTATACTCTATATGGTTTTTCACTTCTCCTTTTGCATCCAAAGAGAATGTTTGAGATTTGGCAATGGAAAATGATTTCTATCAGTGATGTCAAGTCAGTCCAGATCTTGCCTTTCACTGTCTCTCGCTCACGGTTCACACAACTGGTTTTATCTAACACTGGCTGAATTATCTTTCAGATGTTATCTGCAAAATGTTTCCCCTGCCTGTAGACAGAAATACTAAAGAAACCTGCCTGCTTTTTACGCATCTTGAAGTGCAATTTTTTTGGTTTTAGTATCTGTTCTTTTTCTGAGCTCACATTGCAGGGAGAAGCACACCAACTGTCACAGCTGTGAATTTTTATCTCTTACTAAGTGGTTTGATGATCTGACAATGGAGGAGTACTACATGCTGGAGATGATGTGGTTAACAACCTTCCCTGTAAGTGTAAACTAAGTCATCTTAAAATGCAAAGCTGAACTATTTAAAAAACAAAAACAAAAAAAAAAACCAAAAAAAAACACAAAAAACAAAAAAAAACAAAAAAAAAAGCAACAAAAAAAAAAACAAAAAAA